CAGGTGCTGCAGCGGCAGGTGGTGGTATGCAGAGCTCGGCCCCGGCTGCTTACATCACACTTGTATCTCTGATCTTGCAAACCCCTGTTCCTAAGAAATTGATGTAATATTTTCCCGACTTACCCTGTGGCTCTGGTGTTGATGGGATGTAAGCTTATCTTTACTATAAAATATATTTGTGTATATTCGCATCGGGGTGCGCTTTTCCCGTGTTTCACAGTTTAACTGTGTTTTGCAGTGTGTAGAACATTCGTCGGTTTCAAACACTAAAACCCCCTGAAATGGTGCGTTCAGAGATGATCCACCTCCTCTGTCCCCTTCACACCCTCCCTCCCGCTCCCACACTGCAGGTGACGATTTTTGTCAGATTCTGGTTTTCAGAGTGAGCAAGCGATCTGTGGAAAGGTAAGTCAGAAGACACCTCGTGTTACTTAGCTCCTTTCTCAGAGGGAAGTTAGCCCATTCTAGAGCTGTGCACCCCACTTTCTGCTGTTCCAGTTCCTGATGCTCCTGGAAGAAGTCGCTGCAAACTCCACGCTGGAAACAGTGCACATTCACGCCCGTGCGGCTCTCTGGCCGAGGAGTCTGACGGGGTCCCATGGGCTGCATGAAGCAGTCAGCAGGGCTGCGTTCCTTCCAGCGGCTACAGGCGCTAAACAAAACACTCAAGAACAACAAACGGATCAAAGAAAAAAATCGTAACAGAAACAAAAAATATCTCTAAACAAACGAAAATGGAAAGACACATACCAAAACTTGTGTATAGGCTGCTGCAGAAGCATTTCAGAGAGGGAAATTTGTAGTCGTGAGTGCGTCTGTTAAGAAATTAGAAAGATCTTGGGCACCTGGGTGGCTCAGTCGTTAAGCGTCTTCTTTTGGCTCAGGTCGTGATCCCAAGGTCCAGGGATCGAGCCCCGCATCGGGCTCCCTGCTCAGCGGGAAGCCTGCTTCCTCCTCTCCCACTCCCCCTGCTTGTGTTCCTGCTCTCATTATCGCTCTCTCTGTCAAATAAATAAAATCTTTTAAAAAAGAAATTGGAAAGATCTCAACTACACAGCCTAACTTTACACCTCGAGGAACAAGAACAAAAAGAGTACACTAATCCCAAAGTTAGCAGAAGGAAAGAAGGAGAGTGGAAAGAAATGAAACAGAGACACACACCCCTGGAAAAAAAAGAAAAAAGAAAAAGAAAAGATCAATGAATCTAAGAGTTTTTTATTTGAAAAGATAAGCCAAATTGACAAATGTTTAGCTAGACCGCCTAAGAAGAAAAACAAGAGAAAACTTGAATAAAATCGGAATGGAAAGAGGCATTACAACTGACACCATAGAAACACATAGAATCGTTAAGGGACTACTACCAACGACTCCATGCCCACAGATGACACAACCTGGAGGAAACTGATCAACTCCCAGCAATACAGGACCTACCACGACTAAATCAGGAAGAAATAGAAAATCTGAACAAACCGATAATAAGCAAGGAGACTCAATGGGTCATCAAAGACCCGGCAACATAGAAAATCCCAGGACACCAGATGGCTTCACTGGCAAATTCTACTGAACATCCAAAGAAGAATGAATGCCAATCGTTCTGAAACTCTGCCCAAAAAGTGGAAGTGGGGCGGGGCGGGGGGGACATTCTCAAACTTGTTCTTCCAGGCCACTGTTATCCTGATGTCAAAATCGGATGAAGACACTACCAAAAAAAGAAAAAGAAAAATTAAATAGAGACCAAAGTTTTTATCTGTCCTTCATAACTCCAGAACAATTTCCCAGACAGATCATTCTTACCAGCATCTTTTTCCTTTCGGTGTGTTAATTAGTCTTGAATTTGGATGTCCAAGTATCTCCCTGGGTTTAGGAAGTTCTCGCTTATCATTTCTTTACATAAGCTTTCCTCTCCTTCTCTCTCTATCTCTCCTTTTTCTGGAACTCTAATCATTCTGTTCTGTGGTAGATGCTGTCCCGTGCCTTCTATTAATTTTACTCATTAACTGAATCCCTCGAGTCCAGAATTTCTATTTGGCTCTTTTGTATGATTTCTATCTCTTTGTTAAATTTCTCTTTTGGTTTGCGTATTGTTCTTTTCTCATAACTCAATGAGCTTGGTCAGTGCAGCTATTTTGAAATCTTGGTCAGCTACATGGCAAAATTCCAAGTCTGAGTTCAGTTACTGGATGGCTGTCCTCATTTTTGCTGATGACATGTGTCCTTGATTCCTTGTGATCCTTGGAGTTTCCCGTGGCTGTTTTAGCATTTGAAGTGGCGGTCACTCCACAAATCTTTAGTAGCTGCCTTCGTGTGGGAGATGTTTTTTCATTGGTCCTGCTTATATGTGATACTTTTTCCAACTTTTCAAGGATGCACAAAATTCGTAAACTTGTATTTCCTTTCTGGTCCTTGAAACCCACCAGGCTGGCTGCTGGAATCGCTCTTTGTTTTGCTACAAGTGTGTGGTTTCTCTGTTGCCCACAGACCCCAGTTTGTTTTCTGAACCTGCACAAGGATCTGGCCACAGCATGCAATGAGGTGTGGGTTTTCACACTTGGGGAGTGGAGAGCACCCTTGGGTTGGGGCTGGGGGTGTTGGGGGTTCAGATCTCCCAACAGCTCAGAGACAGGCTTCCTGCTGGGGTCCTGAATGCAGTCAACGGGAACCACATCTGTTTAATCCCTTGGATATTCTTATCTGCCTCTCTTCCCCATCTCCTGCTCCCCCATCTGGAGGTCCTACTTCAATACTCTGGGTGTCTCCGGCAGACCCACACAGCTGGGGGGCCCGGGAACTCACTCACTGTTCTCCCATTCCATGTTGGCTAGTTCAGCCCTCCCCCAACTATGCCCCCCACCCCGGGCGGAGGGGTGACTTGACCGTCTCAAATGCATCTCCATTTCCTTCATTTACAACAAAAGGTCAAGATACACATGTCATTTCTAAATATATGTACCTTAACACTTGGTGGGTGTTTCCCGGTCTCTGTAAAATGTTCAATTACATATCTCTTCAGCTGTTGCAGACATAATCCTTGTTGCTGTCCTTCTGACACAACACTTCCTCATTCCATTCCCCAAGCATCTTGAATTTCCAGCATCTGGTCTCTCTACGCTGCCTTCTGGAAAATCCCTCAATACTGCATTCCAGTTTTATAAATGGCTCTTCAGCTTTGTCTTGTCCTTAATGGAAAGAATTTTTGAATGTGTCGGTTTTTATTGGATTTTTCATCTCTAAAATTTCTTAATTGTTTCAAGAATTGCCTATTTTTCTGTAACATAATCCATATTCTTGCATCAAAAATTCATCATCTCCTTTTATTTTTTCAGATATTTAAATATGCTTAATTTTATTCTCATATTTTCCTATCCATTCTATTTCCTTGTATATGATAATTCCTATTCATCAGTAGCTTATTATCCACAGCATTGTTAGGATCACTCTCTGATGTCCATTCTTAGTGGACACTCTCCTCCCACACACCTGTTCGTACAAGAAGGGTTTCTCCCGGGGCTGTTCTGGGAGTCGGGCTGACCACAAGAGATAATTGCAGCTTCTCCTGCTCTGTGGTGTCCACTCTCTCAAATGTCGCATCTGTTCAGGGTTGTGTTAAGCAGGGACGGGTCCAGTGCAACCTCAAGCTCACAGTCACTCACGGAAGAGAAAAGCTGCTGTGAATCTGTTTTACACACACATAGGGGAGGTGGCCTGAGTCAGTGAGTGGAGAAACCCCTGTGCTCGTCCACAAACACACATTGGGGAACACCACAGTTTCCAGCCTTCACCTGCAGCCCTGTCCCCTGCCTTCCTGTGAGGACCCTGGGGTCCCTCTCTGTGTCCACATGGGTGGAAGTCTCTACTCAATGACCCGTTGATGGTCCTGGGAATTGGCAGCTGCTCATCTTTGTTCTCTGTTCTTTCTTGTGGTTCCATGACTATTTGGGGAACTTTCATTTCTCGGTTCCTGCATATGACTGTTTCTACACATCTCAGAAATATGGCAAGTAGCACCTATTGGTATGAGGAGCATGTGAGGGGTCTTGACTGGATGCAACAAACATCCACGTAGGTTGAGTCTGACCCCATAATCCTCCCATGTACCGAACCCCTCTTAACCTGCTCTGAAAACTAACAATGATGGATCCCCTCCCATGAACTGGGAACCACTACCCACAACTACCCTGAGGAGTGAGGTTCAGGTCAACAGGACCTAAATAAGGAAACAGGCTTGAAGACAGGATGTTACCACCCTGGGCCACAAGGAAATGGATAATAGATGAATATTTAGATAAAAGTTAACTTTTCCTTCACAAGCAGAACTCTAGTTGAAATAAATGTCCCCTACAGCTTGCAGGCAGGACCCCAGGGCGGGGAAGACAGCTCCGTCCCAGGAACAAGGGGCATCGAGGAGCCAGGAGAGACACATAGGGAAGTTCCCAAGAAGGGGGAGGGGTGTGGACGGTATCACAGGAAAATAGAGATGACCATAGAGGTTGTGATAGAAAGAAAGGCCACGCTCCGGAGCCAGGAGAGGGGCTGTGCTCCCTTCCGTATTTGCCTGTTTTCCCCCCTGGGCTCATTGCCACTGTGATTTCAACCTGGGCTGAGCAGATTTGTCACACGTGTGTCTGTGCTGACATGAGCTTCCAAATAGTGGCAGGAACCCGTGTCCACTGTAACATTTCCGGGGCTTGGGGACCCCGTCCACGGTGAGAACCCCAGGGATGTGCTGAGGATGAAGGAGAACCATGGGGGAGGCTCTGGGAGGGAAGGACATGCCCTGGTCTCCTCACCTGGATGGGGCATCTCAGGGAGCCTCGGGGTCCACTTGCTGCACCATCATGGACACCAGAACAGGGCTCAGGAAAGGGGCTGTTCCTCTTCCTGTTGTCACATCCTGCTGATGTGACAACCATGTGATGGGCAGGACCGGCCTCCACATGGCCACACCCTGTGTGTCTGCCCGTCCTGTGGGCACCGAGGTCCCTCCCTAGGCACTGCTAGAGCCAGAGACAGGAGACGCCATGACCCCCACCCTCACGGCCCTGCTCTGTCTCGGTGAGATCTGAGGGGGGGAGGGGACGCCCTATTCTGGGAGGGACCCGCCCCACAGCCAGGCCCTGGGCTGTCAGAGGCCCCAGACTCAGAGGCTCACGGGAGGAGGGGTTCTGCTCAGGATTCGGGGCAAACCTCTCACAGGAGCTCTCTTCCAGGGCTGAGTGTAGGCCCCAGGACCCGAGTGCAGGCAGGTGAGTCTGTCCCCAGGGGTCCCAGGCCCACCTCCTCACTGGGGACAAGGGTCACCCGCCAGGCAGAGGGGATGGAGAACAGCAGTTCTGGGCTGACAGGGGGGGACGTCTGGGGGCTTGGGGCAGAGCTGGGACCTGGGGGTGGGGAAGGTCTTGTGTCCCAGCGTCTGTTTCCTTCCAGGGACCCTCCCCAAACCCACCATCTGGGCTGAGCCAGGTTCTGTGATCCCCTGGAGGACATCTGTGACCATCTGGTGTCAGGGGAGCCTAGAGGCCCAGGAGTACCGCCTGCACAAAAAGGGAAAGTCAGAGACTTGGGACAGACAGAAGCCACTGGAGCCCGGGGACAAGGCCAAGTTCTCCATCAGACACATGACAGATGAAGATGCCGGACGATATCTCTGTTCCTATCGCAGTCCCACTGGCTGGTCAGAGCCCAGTGACCCCCTGGACCTGGTGGTGACAGGTGCGAGCCCACTCAGGGTCCCAGCCCCAGGCTCTGCCCTCAGGAAGGGGGTCTGCTGCCAGGTGTCTCCCTCTCACAGCCCAGCCCTGGGGATGATGTGGGGGATCGGAGCCCCATTTAACACCATCCCCTCCACCTCTCCTAGGATCGCATAGAAAACCCAGCCTCATAGCCACACCCAGCCCTGTTGTGACCTCAGGAGGGAACGTGACCCTCCAGTGTGGCTCATGGGTGGGATCCGACAGGTTCATCCTGATGAAGGAAGGAGAACGCCAGACCTCCTGGACACTGGACTCCCAGCCAGCCCCCGGGGGGGGGGGTCCTGGGCCCTGTTCCCTGTGGGCCCTGTGACCCCCAGCCTCAGGTGGACGTTCAGATGCTATGGTTATTACAACAACACCCCCCAGATATGGTCGTACCCCAGTGACCCCCTGGAGCTGGTGGTCTCAGGTGAGGAACCAAGCCCTGTCTCCTCTGTGGTCCTGTGGTCAACTCCTGACCCTGTCTGGAAGACCCACAATATAGGAATGGAATGAGGGTGCTACAGGGAGGGTCATCCAGAGGGGCATCCACCCCTCCGAGGAATGGAGGACCACACTGTCCCCCCAGGCTTGCCCCTTTCCACACGCCCATCACTCGAAGCTCCAGGTACATGCAGAAGGGTCTTCAGGGCCCTAGGGCAGATACACCAGGAGGGTCTGAGCCTAGAGGGGGTCTCTATGGGAAGCTCCAGCCCTCCACCCTCCTCTTGTGTCTTTCCCGGGACCCTCTGGGGGCTTCAGCCCCCCACCCACAGATCCCAACTCCACAACTGATGCATCCCTGGGACCTCTTAAGTCAGAGTACAGACCATCCCAGGGAGTCTGAGAGCCTCTCAGGGGATCTAACTCCCCCCGAGATGCTCAGAAACAATCTTGTGTCCTTGGGGGCTGAGAGTCGAGCAGAGATGCCAGGGGGAAAGCTCCAGGGGCTCTGAGGCTAGCAGATGAGGGATGGGGTAGTCATGGCAGAGGCAGATACTGAGGGGAGAGTAACCAGGCTGAAGTGAGGAGCACGGCAGCCCCATGGCCTCACCTCCCTGTCCTGGGTTTACGATGTACCCGGTGGGGTCCATTGAGGGGGGGATCTGTGATTTGGGGTGGGTCCCTTTCCATCGGGGTCTCGGTTTCTCCATTTGTGATGGGGGAGAATCCTGATCAGATCTCAAGGACATGTCCATTCCGACCCTACAGGGATGCTGCCTGAGGTCTGCAGAATGGGAAGGTGGGCAGTGAAGGCTGCAGGATGCAGGGAAGGGCAGAGCAGTGACGTTGGTGACATCCCCAGGGCTCCTCTGTCCATCCTGCGGTGCTCAGCCTGGCCATATCCAGACAGCCCTGGTGGAAAGAAATCAGAATCAAACAGAAATAAGCAAGGCTTTGACGGTCGGGCTCCGTGGAATGTAAATCCCAGATCTGCCACTTCTGGGCTGTGGGGCCTCAGACGAGTCCTTTCACTGCCCGTGAAGTGCTTCTCCCATGGTCTCCCTTATGGGTTTGCTGAGAGGTTTAGGCGAGATCCTGGAAATGAGAGCCCTCTGTGGGACGGACCCACCGAGCGCACAGCATCCTCACAGCCCCTGCCCTGATGTGCTCACTGAAAAGTGCAGCCAGACCCCACATGCGAATGTGGGGTCTGCAGGGCAGAGGACGGGTCTTGGTTGGACTTGGGGAGCACGGAAGGCACGGAGTCCGTCCCACAGAGGGATGGTTCTGAGCACCCCAAAACCTCTGACAATAGGAGGTGCATTCAGCTCCAGCTACAGGAGAGGGCAGGGCACATGGGGACAACAGAATGGGCCATTCCAATCAACGTAGGAGCCCAGAGCCCGAGGCAGCTGTCCACTAGGGTGGGTAGTGTGAGGAGAGCACAGGGAACCCAGAGTCCTGGCTTCAAATCCCAGCTCTGCCACCCACTTCCTGGCCCGGTGACCTGGAGCACCTGATTGATCTCTCTGAGCCTTGGTTTCCTGATCGGTGAAATGGGTGAAGCGGGGGTGGCATTTCCCTGGTGCGTGATTATTATGGGGATGAGAGGTGATGAATGCACAGACCCCAGCATGGGTCTACACACAGTAGGTGCTCAGTGAACTGACACCATTGATTCATTCATGATATCACTTGTGTCCAAGGTCACAAGTACCAGAGAATTTTGATCTGGGTCCCTGTGATCTTCCTCGTTGTGCTCTTCCTTCTTCTCCTCTTCCTCCTTATCCGACACCAGCACCAGAAAAAACGCTGCAGGTCAGGTAAGTAGAAGACGGGGAGCTCTGGTCTACCTGAGAAGTGAGACCTAACTCTGAAGATAGGAAGTGGCTTCTTAGAGCACCGCCAAAATATGGCACCAAACAGAAAGAAATGCTCAGTTTTTGAAAACCCTCCAAATTAAACAATAAAAAATTTCTCGGAAACTCTTTCCATCACAGCCTTCTTGGGACAGGCTGGAATCCCCACAAAGTACAGTTATGCAGGTGGGTAGCAGGGGTGTACCCAACACCTGAGGAGCCACGCCAGTGATGAGGAAGGGGGTCATGGGAGGGGTCGTTATCCCCCTGCAGCCAAGAGCAGTGGGGAGGAGGCACAGTGGTGAGGAGTGCGGGAGGATGTGGCAGTGGTGGGAGATTAGTTGCTTTGAGCAAATATGTAAATATAGGGGGGATAAAGGGAGTCAAGTTACTCAAGGTCTGCAGGGATCTATAAATGTGCAAAGGCAGCTGGGTAGAATAAACTCTGAGCTGTTCTTACTGGAATTGGAAATGCCAGTGTGACCTCGTTAAAATGTATACACATCGATGGACATGACAGAGTCGTAGGTGTGTCTGTGCATAGAGGTACAAACACACGTGTCCCAGGTACACCCACCAATAAAACCTAGACACGGTGATGGCACGCCAATCATCCAAATCTTGGCTTTTAACTACTATCCTCTATTAAAAGGAATTAGGGTTCATCAGAGAAATTCTTTATTCCAGATTGGGGCAGGGGAACTAATGGAGGATGCTGGAACATCTTAATGTGCCAGAAAGGGCAAAAACTCACCAAGAATGATGGAGACAAGTCAGAATAACAAGGAGCCAGCTGAAAGGAACTCCCTTTGGAAAGATCTAGAATGATCTGAGCATCCAAGTATGGAATTACAGTGCATTGACTAAAGCAGAAATCCATTAGTTTATAGAGTAAATTAATTAATGCACGGGGGGAAAGGGCACGCTTTAGAGTAGAATGCCAATGAATCGATGCAGAATGATGAGCAATGAAGAGATTGGAGATTGTTATAAGTTAGCTGCCATGATGGTGGATGACTCAGGGAGGGTCGTCCGTGCATCGTAACAATAACTATGGTATATTTGAGGACGATCATGGTATTGGACGAATACTCAAATATGTCTCCAAATACCAATCAAATTCTAAGGGAGGATTGAGGACTTCACCACAGGAAACCTGGCAGACACCTACTTGACCAGGCATTCGGAGTGCACAGCACCAGGGTTGGGACAGGTGGATATCCTGGGCTCCTGATATTGATGGAGGTGATCACAGCCTTGTCAACACCCTTTCCAGGGTATCCATAAGTAGACATTGGGTAGAACCAGAAAGAAAATAAAAGACGCTGTCTGGCAGTTGGTAAGACAGGAACCGGGAGTGTGGGTTTGGTCCAAGTGTTGCATCAGTGAAGATCTCCTGATTGGGAGTTCTGGGGTCATGTAGACAAGGGTTCGTGCTTGTGGGGGGTGCACGCTGGTGTATTGAGGACAGAGGGGGCATTATATCAGAAAAAGATCTACCTACCTATCTACTTATTATCTGTCTGTCAGTCTATCTCTGTTTCTGTCTATGTGCATGCATACGTTTATGGGTGTGCATATAGATGCATATGTAACGGACCTACACTTTCTTTCTCCCCTCCCCTGTGATACTCATGCCTGTATCTCCAAATCCATTTCCATCTCTGTCTCTCTTTGGTAAAATATTACCAAAGCAGAAATGTAGGTCAAGGTGATGCAGGAATAAAATACAGTCCTTATAAATATTTTCTGTAAAAAAAATAATAATTATAAAATCATTCAGAATGAAGAGATTTAATAACAGACATAGACTTTTAAAGACATTCTTTCAGTTTTATTTAAAAATATATATATTTAGGGCGCCTGGGTGGCTCAGTTGGTTAGGCGACTGCCTTCGGCTCAGGTCATGATCCTGGAGTCCCAGGATCGAGTTCTGCATCGGGCTCCCTGCTCAGCGGGGAGTCTGCTTCTCCCTCTGACCCTCCCCCCTCTCATGTGCTCTCTCTCTCTCTCTCATGCTTTCTCTCAAATAAATAAATAAAATCTTTAAAAAATAAATAAATAAATAAAAATAAAAAAACTATATTTAAATCATTCATGCACGTTTTGTGTGTTAGAGTTTAGTCGTTTGCCCTGAATTCCAAATCGAGGAGGGTGGGTGTATAACCTTGTCAGGCCTCAGATCTTCTGAGATCCTAACGTGGCCCTGGGGGCCAGGTTCTGGGGTCGTTTAGAAGCTAATTTCTCACTTTGTGCAGGTGCCTCACATCCTGAAGTTGACACCAGAACCCTGCAGAAAAGGTAATTTCTCCCCAAAGACGCTTCCCCAACCTACCACCTCTGCCTGTAGTCCCTTCACCGCTGCCTAATGCCCCTCTTTTTCCTCCCCTCAGTTCCAGCTCCATGGCTCCTGTCCAGGAGGAGAATCAGAGTAAAAAGGAGGGTCCTGGTGGGAGACCAGGAGGAGCGCTTGGGCCGGGTTCTGGGCTTCTCACGAAAATTGCCACATCTGTGTGATCCCAGGCACATCCCTGCCCCTTGCTGGGCCTCAGTCTCCCCATCTGAGGGTGGAAGGGGCATGTGGGACTGCAGGGTTTCAGGCATTTTGGCATGATATAGAATGTTCTCGTCCTCCAGATGCTGAGGGGAGGGAGTCCCAGCCTGAGGAAGACATACAGATGGACAGTCAGGTGAGCCCCTGCTCCTGTCCAGGGCACCCAGCACAGCCTTGTTAATTAGTTAAATGTATGGGCTGCTTCTCCATCTTCCTATTCCTCAGCTCAGCAGCATCTGACCTCACCCTTCCTCTTGAAAGGTGATACATGTAGGCTGCTGGGACACCTTCTTGGGTTTTTCTGATATCCACATGGGCCCCTCCTTCTTGGTCCCCTTATTTGGGTCCTTTGAGCTGTTGGTTGTCCAGGTCTCGTAATGGTGGTGCTGCCAGGGACAGTTGTACAGTTTGTGCACTGCACAATAAGGACTGTGGGGTTTAAGACCCTACTGGTGGCGTCTGAGCAGAGTGCCTTTTCTTATTCGCACAAAGGCACCCTATAGAATGGTCTGTCCATGAACAGAGACCCTCAGCCTGGCTTTTTCTCCACTTATTCTCTTCCCTCTGGTTGTG